GCGAGGAATAGTTTGGTCATAATCAATAATTTGTTCATAATCAATAATTTGTATTTATATTTGCACAATATTTCAGATTTTTGGTTCATAAGCTTCTAGTTACTGTCTGAACGTTACACTTAGGATGGCAGCGGCAAGATTAAACATAGACCGTACGCTTCTTCTTACATCTGTTAGGTTGATACATTCTAGAATGAACTTCCCTGAAAGATATTCTGGAGGAATATCCCTATTTTGGTTCTGAAAGCTCAGATATATGTACAGGAATTCATCTTGCTAGTTCCTTTCCTTTGGAAATGAAAAAAAAGAGATCAATAGCGAGATAATGCTCAATTTTATTTAAAAGAGGAATCTCAATAGGACCAGAACAGAGCGGAGATTCATAATGCTGGGCATGGCACTTGGAGTGTACATTAGAAAGAATAGCTACTTCCTATTTGATGCAATCTATTATTGTGACTTAGAATGGACGACACAATGGCGAGGTGTTAACTTATTTGCAAGAAAAAATATACTAATATTAGCTTATTCAGTAAATATGTACAAAAAGAATTGAGTATGACAAAATCTTAAACTTTTCTAGCACGTCGTCGTACATTTTTCGATGATGGCTGGCCGGCTCTCGTCAATTCAACCTCCTGTTCTGCTGGTACAGTCTCTTCTGTCACTTCCTCCTCCTCCTCTTCTTCTTCTTCTTCTTCATCGCTTTCCTCCTTTCGTTTCTTCTTCTGCATTTTCTTCTTCTCTTTCTTCTTATACTCTTCCTCCGTGTCATCATGCCTTCCCTTCTTCGAAAATTTCTTTCTCTCTTTGGGCTTCTCTTCCTCCTCTTCTTCAGAGTCCTCTTCATCCGATCCAGAATTCAACTCTTCAGTGCTGGTATCATCTTCTGTGCCTGAATGCCTTTTCCTCATACCTCTTTCCTCTTCATACGCATCTGATAACACCTGGAAAATTAGTCAATATTATGGAACGCAAAAAGATGTGCGAGTGAAAGGATCGTCAAAACAAACCTTGAAGTCTCTCAATGCTTTTTCTAAGTCATTTATGTATTGCTCATTTTTAGCATTTACATTCGTTTTCGGCTCTGAGTTCTCTTTATCCTCTGTTTTTGATGCTTCACTCTGGTTCTGAAAGCATGTGAGTCATCGAAGAAAACAGGCACGATAAAAAGTAAACACTAGCGCGATGCTATTTTCATCAAAATCTGTTTAGAAGAACTCTTCTAAAGCAACTTCTAATTTACAAGAAACTTTTCATTTTATTTGAGGAAAGAGTTGACCACTAATACTTTTCTGGATCTGGAAATCTTTTCTTACTTGCTCTCCTTCAACCAGTGTTCCTGCTGCTTGAACTGCTTCTAACTGTTCAAGTATTTTGTTCATTGCTTCTTCGGTCTGTTGTAAACGTTCCTGCAGACCGCGAAGTTTTCGTTTTCCTGGAATATTGAGTGATTCAATGCACCAACGAAATAGCCTCATGCCCTTTTAATCCAAAAACACTCCATGTGTCAAAAAGTTCTCCAATTTCAGTGTTCAAAAAGTAAAAGAGGCTTATCTCGCATTTTTTC